TTCCTTACACTTTATACAAAAATTAACTCAAGATAGATTAAAGACTTATATAAGACCTAAAACCATAAAAACCCTAGAAGAAAACCTAGGCAATACCATTCAGGTCATAGGCATGGGTAAGGACTTCATGACTAAAACACTAGAATTGTTAGCATCTTAGTTCACTGCTGACTAGCAGAGCTCCTCATCTCATAGTAATCCTGGATACCATTTTAATTGCTTTTAAAAAATAGCAACTTTATTAAGATATATTTCACATTCCCTCTAATTTACTCATTTTAAATGTAAAATTCAATGACTTTCAGTACATTCACAAAACTGGGCAACCATCCACAAATTTTAGAACATTTGCATCACTCCAGAAAGAATACCCATTACCCATTAACGGTCACTCCTCGATTTCCCCATTCCCTTTCCCTTCAACCCTAGACAACCACTAATCCACTTCTGTGTCTATGGATTTGTCTATTCTGGACACTTCATGTAAACAAAATCATATATTATATCATTTTTTGTGACTTGCTTCTTTCCCTTAGCGTAATGTTTTCACAGCTTACCCATGTTGCATTGTGATTAACATTTCATTCCTTTTATTGCTGAATAATACCCCATTTTTGTTGGGTATTATTACTCTTGTCAGTTAATGGACATTTAGGTTGCTTCCACTTTTTTTTGACTGTTATCAATAATGCTGCACAAATTTTTATGTGGACATGTGTTCTCATGTTTCATATGAAACAGACTTGCTGGGTCATATAGTTTTGACTGTTTTTCAGTGTTGAACAAGGACATCCCCAGATTTTACAACTGATCAACACAGGGAAAGGTATTAATTAATGTTGCCCCCATGGAATTAGAGAAGAGTAAATTTTATTGCCAACATTACTACATAATTCTTTTTCTCAAAACAAAAATTGGGTAACAATCTATCACTTATAGAAGAAAAATCAATCAGTCAGCAACTATGTCCATTGATTATCTAAGGAAGCCTCTATGTTGTTCAGAGGTACAAATCACACAAACAAGGTATTTAATGTCAAAAGTCAATCTGTAGCAAGACACTCTCAGCTCTTTTGTGTTATATTAACTGTGTAATTGCTAGATAGAATCTCACGATTTTCAGAGAATACACAGACTGTAATATAGAGAGTGTTTGCCATTATTTTGACATTAATGTTGCACCTTATCTGTTTGTTTAAGAAACAATTTATTTCAACACTGAGCGTCTAGAATTTGTTTAGTGCAGGAGGTAAAAATATCACAAAGACCTGTTTACTTTCTTTACAAAGCCCACAGCCCAGTGATGAGGATGAGACTGAACGAGCTGACCAGTCACTCATACTAGACATGCATTAGTACATTAGACAAAGCACCATCAGTTGTAGACATGAAGAGAGACCCCAAGGAAAAAGTGGCATTTGATATGTGTGTTGGCAGATGAGTACGATTTTGATATGCAAACGTATGTGGAGAGAACATTGCAAACTGAAAGAAAATACATGAATAAAGGCAGATAAGCAAAGTAAAGGGTCTATGTGGGTAGTTCAGATTTCAATTCCCTCAATACAGCCTACTAGCCATAATACTTACTTGAATATTTACCTGTAATTTACCTGAATTCTCAAAGTTGCTGTTTCCTCATTTTTAAAATGGGCAAAATAATATCATCATATGCTGTGAGAGTTAAACAGTAATACATTTTAAATGTTTATTACAATGTTTAAGACATAGTAAATGCTCAATAAAAGTTAGTTTCAAGGTAATTGGTTGTATAGGTAGATGTAAGTGAGTAGAAAGTAGGTTGGACCCACATTGCAGAAAACCTTGATATGGGATGAGAAGTTGGAAATTCCATTGCAAGCAGTAAGGAAACGAGGAGATTTTAGAGTAAGAAAGCGATCTCATTAGAGCTCCACTGGGCAGGAGCATATAGAATGGGATAAAATTGGATGAGTCATCAGAGGCCATGGAATTAGTCCTAGGGAAAGATAATAAGGACCTGAGATAAGGCAGGAAGTATAGAAATTAAAATGAGGAGTTACTACAAAAGGCTTTATAAAGGTGGGCTATGCAAAATATAGCAACTGCTTACATTTTAGAGGCAAAAGAGAAGGCAAACTTTGAGCCTGCATAGCTGGAAGCATAATGTCATTAGCCAGGAAGAATGAGCTAAGAGGAAAGATAATGAGATAATACTTTGGCTCCGAAGAGGTTGAGGTACCCGTGAGGCATCTGTGTGAAGGTGTCTGGCAGACAGAAAGGACAACAGAGCACAGAACAAGAGTCCTGACTAGAAACTCTGTATTCACCCTCCAAGAACTATTGGTGGAAGCGAGGGGTGGGTGACACAGATCCTCACAGGATCATCGAGATTGCTGTAAAGAGGAAAAGAAACAGGAACTCCCAAGTGCATGAGGCCAGTCCTGCTTGTCTAACAAGGTTACCAAGAGGAAAGCCCTTCATAAACTGTCAAGTACTACAGTGACTCAAGCTGATGAAAAGCAGAAGATTGAACAGCTGTTGTGGAGAAGGCCACAGGGAGCCCTTTCCTGAACCAAGACTACCACTGTGATTTTTTGATAGTTCTCATAAACAGTCAAATGGATTAATCACACTGCTAGTCCCTTGGGTAGGACGTGATGGCAAAGGAGTCATGAAGCCAAGCTTTTTTGACAAGAACATTTGCTCCTGAATGCTTCAAATAACTTGCTGGTCATTCCAATGTTCTCCATTATGTCAACTGCTTTTTGAGTCTGTACATTCAGCCATTTATCCAAATTAAATAATGATCCCTGGGGGGCTTTGATGGCAAGGTACTGGTAAGGGAATCAATGGTGCCCTCTACTGTCCTTTTCTCTGATAGAAACAACTTCAGGAATAAACTCCTTTTCTCCCATCACACATTTTGCATCAGGTCTTTTAAAATATAAAGAGTTCCACATTTTAAAGTTTGTAACCAGCCAAAGGATGGTTAGTAGCACTGGCCCCTTAAGTGCTAGCAAAATCTTTCTTGATGTCTCCCCACATGGTTATTTGGGCGGTCAGAACCTGAGGCCCAGAAGTCAGGGACCATAAGGGGAGGAGGTCACAAGGCACCAAGCTTTCCAGGAGCCAACCCCTGACACTTGCAATCCCAGCGGTTTCCCACAAGGGCCTTAAGACTTCATTCCTTTATCTCCAATTTTCAGATAAGGACTAAGAAAAGTTAACTGAGGTCAAATGCTAGCAAGTGGCTGAGCTAGAAGCTGAATCTTGATTTGCCTGACTCCTGTGTTTTTCTACTAAATAACTTCTTTCTGTCAGATTTGTGACAATTCTTGCAGACGTTTACCGTCACAGTTCCGAGCATCTGTCCGCAGACTCCAGCTAGTGGGGAAGCTGCACTTCATGGCATTGGATCCTTTATTTTTTTTTCTTAAACCATTTAGCACATCACCATTTATGCTAAATTCATCATTCCATATATTTTTCAGGATAGATTTTATTTTCAAATGCCTCTATGATTGAATTAAAGAAATTGACTCCTATTTCAGTGCAACTGTTTTTCCTATAATCTTCTTAGATGAATCTGTGACAAGAGAAGAGTTAAAATCAATTTCATGTCAGTGAGCAGATACATCATTATGAGTAATTTTTAAGTACTTTTTATAACTTTGTTTTTTTAGAAATGATGTCTCGCTCTGTTGCCCAGGCTGGAATGCTGTGGCATGATCATGACTCACTGCATCCTCAAACTCCTGGGCTCAAGAGTCTCCTGCCTTAGCCTCCTGAGCTATTAGAATTACAGTCACGAGCCACTGTGCCCAGCTCTATATAAATTATTATAGAATATTATTTCATAATCAAAATTGCAAACATAAAACAATTTGAAAGTGTTTAGCAATAATAAAGCTCTATTCTAGAAATGTAAAAATTACTAAAAGTTGTACATTTTAGTTATTCATGGATAACAGAAATATAACAGCCACTTTGTATAAAATATATGATAAATCAGAGTAAACTAAGAATTTATGTATAAATTAATTTAATAGTTTTCATGCTTTCCCCAAACAATATGCTGAAAAGCTCTCACTTGCCCTAGGGAAGTACATATACATGCCTTAGTGAGGCCTGCAGTTTTGCTAAAATAAATCACTACTTGCCAACATTAAGGGGAAATAGTAATTTATAGGACTGCAGTGAATACAGATTTTTTAAATTATGGTCTGCCCTAGGGGAAAACTACCCCTGTACAAATGTATTTATAAGAAAATAGTTGGAAATGTCTGGAAGCCTGGGCACTGTGGCATAATATTTTATTACCATCATTATTTGCCTAAGTTAAGGTGCTTATCAGATTTGATCTCAGCCCTAAGAAAATTTAAAGTGTAAAACAGCATTCAGAGAAGATCTACATCATTACAGCAATATCCCTGATTCTTCAGATTTGGGGAGCTCAGAAGTTTTTAAAGCTCTTTATCACACTGCCTCTCCAATGAGGTTCCTTGCCTAGAATAAATAAGAAATTAAAATATACCAATTTATAAGTCATTTGACAAGAATAATTCATAAATTAGGTTGGACCTAAGGATGAGCTATGATGGTTTTATTGAGAAGATTAAAACTAGTGTCCAGTCTCTGTGGGGAATTTTCTTCCCTCTCGCCAGAGCACATTTGAAAACTTTTCCTTTTATGGCTTCAGTTAAAGAAGAGAGCTGACCTCTACACAAACTCTCATGAGCACACATAGAGTTGTGTGGGGTTTTTCTTTTCTATCACCCCCCATCCTTTCATATTTTAGACAACCTAGGCCCAGGGTCCCCCATGTTCATCCCTTTCCTGCTGAGACCCAGGTCTTTTTGGAGCAGACTCCTTCCCTAGATTAATCCCATTGTCTGACTTTTTAACATCCCACAAAGGGCTGCTATGTCCTAATAGTTAAACAAACAAACAAAGAGAAAACACACACAGTGACTGGATTTGAGCCACTTCGAGTTCATGCTCTTGGACTTCTCCCCTCCCCTTACCCTAGAGCTGTCCCACAGGATGCCTTTGGCAGCCTTCACTTTCATACTCTTCAAAGGCTCCCCCGTCTTCAGACCTAACCACCTCCCTTCATCCCTATTCTCAGCAGATGACCTCCCCATTCACAAGGTAATCTACTCCTCACCCACCTTCATTCCTTTTTTTTTTCTTTCCTTTCATTCCGGGGGACACGGCTACTCCTACCACCTTCCTCAGGAATCTTGTTCCAGTAACTATTATCTCTCTGGTATGAATGTTCCATCTCTCCTTGATTGATTCTTTCCCTTAGCAGACACAGACTCTCCTGGATTCCCTGCCACCTCCCTGGACCATATCTGGGGCTGACCACCTATTAACGTAGGTGGTCTCAGGTTGTTTTCAAAGCTCTCTTCTTTTATTACTCTCTATACTTTCTTTGGTATCCCCAAACATATTCTGTAACAGTCAGGAGACGGAACCATATGAGTTATGTTAACTGAGAAAAATTCATATGAAGATTTGTTAATTAGGTATAAAGTTGTTAACCAAGTAACCCAAAGAGTGAGAAGAAAACTCTGAGATATGGCAGAAGCAGCCCCTGCAGGAAGCAACTCCACCTCTAGGGCTGAAAGGACAAAGGAGGAGGCTGTAATTATTAAAACTAGAATGCAGAAAAGAGACTGCCTAGGGTGGGACCCAGACCTTGGAAGAGGGCATGTAGTTGGTCACAGCTAGTGTCTCTAAGCAGGGGTAAGAGGAAGCTGGTTTTGCAGGTGTTAGAAAAACTACACACCGGCCCCAACAGCTGTTACTGGAATGATGTGCAACTGCTGGATGGAAGCAGTGAGGCTGCAGGGAGATTCACACCCCTGTCCTCCCTCCAGCCCTGCAGCTTCCCTCTATTGGCAGGGCCTAAGAAAAAGCCAACTGATCAAGCAGAAATGTGGTTTGCAGAGTCCTAGCTCCAGCATCAGAAAGCAAGTATGGAGAGTACATTTGGAGGAAAAGATAAAAATGAGAACAACTGCATAGCCTCAAATATCACTGGAAGGAGCCGGGCACAGTGGTTCATGCCTAATTAATCCCAGCCCTTTGGGAGGCCAAGGTGGGTGGATAATTTGAGATCAGGAGTTCAAGACTAGCCTGGCCAACATGGTGAAACCCTGTCTCTACTAAAAATACAAAAATTAGCCAGGAATGTAATCCCAGCTACTCGGGAGGCTGAGGCAGGAGAATCTCTTGAACCCGGGAGGTGGATGTCGCAGTGAGCCGAGATCAAGCCATTGCACTCCAGCCTGGGTTGGACAGCGAGACTCTGTCTCAAAAATAAATAAATGAATAAAACCACCGGAGGATTCAACAACCTATTTGCCTAACCCAACTTTCTCTCTTGAACCCCAGGTTTTTTAACCAGTCCTCTGTTGGAATACTTATTTGCATGCTCTATGGTTACATCAGACTCAATATATTCTAAATTGGTCTCATTACCTTTCTCTTTCTCCCTGTCCTCTTCTTCCACCCTCCTCTATATGAAATCTATAAATGCTATTTCATCAGTATACTTCTGGCTGTTTGCACTCACATTGAATCAATCATTCGAGTCCTTTCATTTCCCTTAATATCTCTCAAATCAGTTCCCTTCACTTCAGTCCCATTGCTACTCTCTTAGTCTCTGCCCTCATCGTTTCCTACCAGATTAAAACATTGTCTACTAACTGGTTTTGCTGTCTCACATTTTACTCTGTTGCTATACCCTGGGTCTAAGTTCCTGACACCGAACCCCTATACAAGCAGAATAATCTTTCTTAAATACAAATCTTGTCTCTCGGCCCTCTGCCTAAAATCCTTTACTGGCTTCTCTTAATCTTCAAAATTCCTTTCTCTTTGGTATGACTTAGAAAGCTGTCTGGTCTTAATTCTAACCTCTCTCCTGTCCCCACCCCCTTTCTTCAGTGAAATCCAAATTCAATCATCCGATCATACCGCATTGCCTAGCTTTCTTCAGCCTTGTTATGTTCTTGATGGCCTTTGTTGTTGTTTTTTTTTTTTGAGATGGAGTTTCGCTGTTGTTACCCAGGCTGGAGTTTGTATATTTGTACATCCCATTGCCTTTTCTGGGTTTATCTTCCTATTTCTCACTTTCAAACTTTCTTCCTTTTTCTAATTCCTTTTCACCCTTCAAGACTGAACACAAGTTTTAACTCCTAGGAGGATTCTGTCTCAACCCACATGCCCACACCCAGTCTGTCAGGGTCTCTCCCTTGAGTCCCCACCCCCTGTCATGTTGGGCTTCTTGGGGCTATTCCAGAGTGGTTAGGAGTGAGAGCTCTAAGCCAGACCCTATGTTCAATTTCCAGCGCTTCATCTTGCTGTCTGTGTGACCTTGGGAAAGTTGTTTAGCCATGCCATCCTCAACGCTGCATATGTAAACCAGGGCTTAGAATACTACCTTCTGATAGGTGGGTATGAAGATTAAATGAGATACGCAAAAGCCCAATCCCAGTTTTCAATCATTCTTTTCAAAGTGTCTCACATAATTCTCTGGGTATTGGTCCATGTCGATTATTAAAACCAGGGTGCAAATTGATCATGTACTGCTTTAGAACAACATTAATCTTCTGCTAAACCCTCAGCCACATTTATTTTAGAAGGGCCAGGTCCAGATGGATACTATCATTGACTTGATTCTACAATTATTTGGGGATGGGCTCAAGTCTTGCATTTTTTTAGGTACTAGGGCCTCTGACTCTTTTTGTGAAAAAGAGAGAATTCTTTGCCAGCCCTAAGATCCTCTGACTGGTGTTAAAGTGCATTTAGTGGGAATGTCATTAACTTTTTCATGAGAAAGATGGAATTGGCCAGCGCCCTGTTTCTCCCTTCCAGTTTTTCTGTGATCCTGGCTGTGCCTAGAGAGGGAAATCCAATGAAGCGTGAGGTCAGGCAGTCCAAGCTCTTCCCCAGGGTGCAGTCAGCCAGCAGGACTCAGTCCTACCTTAAGGCAATCACTACTTCTAAACATTTATTTATGCTTTTGAACCCAAGGTCCAATGGGAACATAAAACAAATGATTCCAAAAGAGATTACCCCCCACTGATTTCTTCTACCACACACAGAGAAAAGGAAAACCATGTACAAGCCAATAGCAGGGAACTTCTCCAGAGAGCTTCTGACCGCCATGTATGAAGCCCTCAAATATAGCTATGGGGAGAGCAATGCTTGGGGAAGGCACATGAAGGCACAGGCATTTTTTTTGTTTTAATTTTCTTTTCACTAGACCTATCCTTGACTTTTCACAGATTTCCCAGCTGAAGAATCAAGATCGATGATAACACAGGAGAAAAATGTTCCACTGTGGCCAGTTTGTGTTCCTCCAGAGAGTCACTTGCACACACGTGGATGGGCAGCCAGGAGACATGGTTGACCCCTGAAGCAGCTGGGAAGGTCAGGCTACTCCCTGGGAGCTGGGATGGAGTGACCTCTGTCTTTTGGTTCTCTGGGAGGATATAGCTCCCACTGGCCCTGGTCCCACAGCGGACTGTCACCTCAGATGGCTTCACTGAGGCAGAATGAGTTACTGGTAACAAGCTCTACGATATCCTACTGTGTCCTTCTCTGAGAGCACTGAGACTCTGACACTCCTACTGCTGGGCTGTGACAATGACTAAGAAAAATGTAGTAGGGATAGCTTTTTAAAAAGCACGACAAGTTTTTTAGCTTTGCTCAAAAAATATCTCTTCTTAAGGAAAAAAAGCAAGAGGGGCTGAGGATGGGCATGGGGGTGGGAGGGAGCTAAAATACTGTGTATGGGAAGTTGCCTTCAAAGGAATACAGGACTGCAGGGTGACTCATGTTCCCTGGAAATGGTTTCCGTTCTGATACCAAATCTATAGAATCACAAAACCAGGCTGTATGCAAGCATTTTGCACATGTTCGTCATCATTGTTACATGTCACAAGTATATTACTTTCATTAACTAAAGTATAATCAAGTTGTCTTTACTTTTTATTCCTCCACACTGCAGCGCCCCCTGCCTGACATGTAGAAGGATTATCAAAGTGCTGGTCCTGCCTGAAGGGAAGCTATCACAAACTATTAATGAGAGATGTTTCAGCCATCTTAAAGTTGGTGAGAGATACAGTTTTCATTGTGTAAATTAGAGTCAGCTTGCAGTTATTCACTGTAAAGAAATAAAGGAAGGAAAGCTCGTGGGCTTACGTAATTGGCTTTTGAACATATTTTATATTAAATATATTTGAGTGTATTTAATTCTACTTTTGAACATAGTTTTCATCTAGGATTATGGAAAGCCAAGTCATTTCCTACAAAGTAGACAAAGTACATTGATGTCATACCTTTAAAAAAAACCTGAAAAACGAAACCAAACAAAACAAAGAACACTCTGTTTAAATGAAATTGCTCAGAAGCCCAATATGTAACATGGGTATAAATGGAGCAGCTTTGGCAGAAGCAGAGATTGCAGGCCTTGAGCCAAGCCCTCTTGGCTGTCATGTCCACCTCATAGTGACACCAAAGGTGCTCTGGAGAGAGCAGTTTACATAGGCAAATGAGCACACACAAGATGTTCACCATTAGCCATTAGGAAAATTCAAATGAATCCCACAATGAGATATCACTGCACACCTATCAAAATAGCTAAAATAAAAAAGGGTGATGATACAAATACTGGCAAAGATAGGGAGAAACCAAGTCACTCATGCACTACTGGTGGGAATGTAAAGTGGTATAGCCACTCTGCAAAACAGTTTGGCAATTTCTTAAAAAAATTAAACATGAGCTGGATGCAGTGGCTCATGCCCGTAATCCCAGCATTTTGAGAGGCCAAGGTGGGCAGATCACCTGAGGTCAGGAGTTTGAGACCAGCCTGGCCAATATGAAGAAACCCCGTCTCTACTAAAAATACAAAAATTGGCTGGGTGTGGTGGCACATACCTGTAATCCCAGCTACTCAGAAGGCCGAGGCAAGAGAATGTCTTGAACCCAGGAGGCAGAGGTTGCAGTGGGCCAAGATTGCACCACTGCCCTCCAGCCTGGGCAATAGAGCGAGACTCCGTCTCAAAAAAACAAAAACAAAAAATGCACAAAAAACTAAACACATAACTACTATGCAACCAAACAACTGCACTCCTGTGCATTAAACCCAGAGAAGTGACAACTTCTGTTCACAAAAAAACCTGTACACTAGTGTTCATATGAGCTCTATTTGTAATAACCCCCAAATGGAAACAACCCAGATGTCTTTCAACAGATGAATAGGTTAAACTGTGGTACACCTATATGATAGAATACTACTCAGCAATACAAAGAAGCCAATTATTAACACATTGACTCTTGGTGAATCTCCAGAGGATTATACCATGTGAATAAAGCTCATACCAAAATGTTGCATACTGTATTATTCCGTTTATACAACATTATTTAAATGACAAAATTATAGAAATGGACAAAAGATTCATGTTTGCCAGGGGTTGAGAATGTGGAAGGGAAGTGGAAATGGCTTGAAAGGGCATGAAGGATTGTGTTGGTGATGAAATGACCTGTATTTTGTCTGTATCTATGTAAATATTCTGTATGTAATAGTGTACCATAGTTTTGCAAGACATTGCTATTGTAAAAACTGAATTAAGAGTACATGGGATCTCTTTATTATTTCTTACAACTGCATGGGAGTCAAAAACTTTCTCAGAATAAAAAAAATCAATAAATTGTTTTAATCATAAAAAGGATGGTATCTCCAAATCCTGTGTTCTGCTATGACTTAAATGTCACTTGTTTCACCCTGTTCAACACTGTTCTGCTATGACTTAAATGTCACTTGTTTCACCCTGTTCATACATCACTCTAGATATGGCAGTATGCCCTTCAGACAAATATCAGGATCTAGGGGAAGCTCAATTTCCCTCCTTCTAATCCAGTAAAAAGCACTTACTTAATATCATGAATCAATGAAGTATCCAGTGCTGGAAATGAACCTACTGTTTTTTTCTTTTAAGTTCATGCCTCCTCTGCACTAGGTAGGTATTTAAGTGATAAGGCAGAAAATGCAAGAAAGAAATAACACTGAGAGATGACTGGTTAGTTGGATCATGGCATGTACCTACCTCACTTCAAAAAGTGATTTAGGATACGTTATTTCTAAAATACGTGTTCTATACTGTGGTAGGCTGAGTGGTAGTCCTCCAAAGAGGTCCATGGTTTAATCCTCAGAACATGTGAATATGTTACCTTGCATGGTAAAAGGAATTTTGCAGATGTGAATAAGTTAAGGATCTTGAGATGAGAGATTAGCCTGTGCTACGCAGTTGGGCCTGATATAATCTCTGAACAGAGAGAGGAGAAGACAATTTGTTAAGGAAAGCAGAGACTGGAATGATAATGGCCACAGCTAAAGAATACTGGCAGCCGCTGAAAGCTGGGAAAGGCAAGGAATATTCCCTCTGAAGACTTCAGAAGGAATCAGCCCTGCTGACACCTTGATTTTAGCCCTGTGAGATTCATTTCTGATTTCTGACCTCCAAAGCTGTAAGAGAAGAATAAATATGTGTTGTCTTGAATCACTAAGTTTGTGGTAATTTGTTATAATATCGACAACAAATTCATTGAAAAAGAAGAAAAGGGGAAAATATGATAAAGCAACAGCTTACTCTTTCATGTGTTTAATATTATTGAAATACTAATTTGAAAGCAAGATTTACTTCTTATAAATTCTATGTAGACTGTGCACTTGAAAGCTTACCAAAAGCAAAACAAACAAACAAAAAAAAAACAGTCAACTCCCATAGCTAGACATTGTATGATCTCTAATAATTTACTTTTTTGAACTCTGCTACTAAAAAAAGCTCATGTTAGAAATTCCTTTTAGGCCAGGCGCAGTGACTCACACCTGTAATCCCAGCACTTTGGGAGGCCAGGGCAGGCAGATCACTTGAGGCCAGGGGTTCAAGATCAGCCTGGCCAAAATGGAGAAACCCCATCTCTAGTAAAAATATGAAAATTATCCAGGCATGGTGGCCTGTAGATACTCAAGAGGTGAAGGCAGGAGGATCCTTTGAATCTGAGATGTGGAGGCTGCAGTGAGCTGAGATCACGGTACTGCACTCCAGGCTGGATGAGAGAGTCTCAACTCTGCCTCAAAAAAAAAGAAAAAAGAAATTAAAAAACATTTTATTAAGCATTTCTATTATTTATCATAGTCTCAGTAAGAGTTAAGGTCAATATTACCTCTTTATTTCCATTTTAGGAAACCAAGAGTCAAGTAAATTACAATAAATTATTTAGAGCTTGGCATGCATTTCTCTGTTCTTTCTCTATTTCATATTTTGAAGGTGGCTTTTTTCCCATAACCTCTGGCATCCTTCTTTTTACAATTAAATCATCACTATTTATTCATTAACTAGATAATTATTGACATATATAAAAATATATACACACAGATACATATGTATACATTTCAAAATATACATATACGTACATATGTGCACACATACATATCAATAGGAATTACTCCCCTTAATTATAATAGACATGTGAAAACAGTGAAGATACTGATTTTCAAAATGGTGAATTTCAAAACATGATATCTCTCATGCCCTAGAAAGTCTTTAGGATGTTGTTAAACAGTAGTTTGAGAGCATTTTAAGAAGATGTATAATCCTCAGGAGTCAGCAACATGGTTTCCTGATGGCTTCTAGAATGATAAATCTCAATAGAGTTGGTATTCACCTAATACAAGAGCTTTGGAACGTTCTCTTGTCCCAGTGTATGCCACATCCCACAGGCTCCAACTGGCATAGGACTCTGTTTCAGAGAGTGCCTATTAGCATGTGAATGACTTGAGAAGAAACAATGTTCTTGCCAAGATTATATATGTATGGCTTAAAGTATATAGAATATGCTTTTAAAATGTGCCACACGTGTTTACAAACCACAGAACATCAGAGTATCTCTCTGAGAGCATCTGACCCAGCCCTACAGAATCCTTCTACAGCATCTATTTGAATATCCCTAGGGAATGGGAATGTACACCCTCCCTGTTCAACCTATTCATTAGACAGTTAATTTTCATAGAGTGAAACTCTGTCTCTATCTGACATCAACTCATCATTCATCTGTAAATAAAAAATAAAGTCCTTTTCTTCTTTTGAGACAGAGTTTCACTCTTTGTCACCCAGGCTGTAGTACAGTGGTGATCTCCACTCACTGCAATCTCCGCCTCCCAGGTTCAAATGATTCTTCTGGCTTAGCTTCCCAAGTAGCTGGGATTACAGGCACCCAGCACCATGCCTAGCTAATTTTTGTATTTTTAATAGAGACAGGGTTTCTCCATGTTGGTCAGGCTGGTCTCGAACTCCAGACCTCAGGTAATCTGCCCACCTCAGTCTCCCTAAGTGCTGGGATGATAGGTGTGATCCACTGTACCCGGACCAATCCTGTCCTCTTTTAACACCTGGAGACAGTATCAGGCTATATCAGGCCATTCTTGCATTACTGTAAAGAAATACCCAAGACTGGATAATTTATAAGAAATGAGATTTATTGGCTTGCAGCTTTGCAAGCTGTCAACTGGAAGCATAGCGCCATCTGCTTCTGGGGAGGCCTCGGGAAGTTTCCAATCATGATGGAAGGCAAAGTGGGAGCAGGCACATCACATGGCAAGAATAGGAGCAAGGACCAGGGGAGGTTGCACACACTTTTAAATCATCAGATCTCATGCACTAAGGTAAAGACAGCACCAAGCCATGAGGAATCAGCCCCCAAACACCTCCCACCAGGCCCTGCTTCCAGCATTGGGGATTACAATTCAACATGAGATTTGGGCAGGGACAAATATTAAAACTGTATTACAGGCCCTGCTTCCAAAATTTTTCTTTTTTCCCAAGTTAAACATATATTTTTTCTTAACTTTTCACAGGTTATTTTCCAGGCAGATCTAGCCATACTAATCTCCTCTGCTCCAAATTTTTCTAAGCCAGTTTTATAATGTGTTGCTCAGAGCAGGACAAATACTCCAGATGTCATCTGCCACAACAGGTTATAACAGTTATTAAGTTAATATTCTGTGTTCATCTGTGTGGCATGAGATCTCATTAGCTTCACTGAAATAATTACATCAAACTATGTTCTTTTGAATCTTTTTCCAAGTCATCATAAAAAATGTTTTATAGAAAAAAAAATGTAAGGATTAAACACTGTTACTCTAAAAGAGATATCCTACCAAATAGACACTTAGGGTATTGTGTTGGTTCAGCCAGCTGTGACTCCACCTCACAGTTCAATAAAGAGCCAGCATTTCTCCATTCTCTTCAAAAGGCTGTGCTGGAAGACTTCCAACCATGCTAGTCATGGTACAATATAGGTATGGCATTTCCCAGATGTAATAAATTAATAATGAGGATAATTTGGCCTGTCTTACAGTTACTGAACTACTTTTCTGACTCCTAGCGGTAACTTCTTTTCTAATGTTCTTCCATCATCTGTTTAAAATGAGCTCTTGAATTTCTCTAGGACATGATATAATCTTACAGGATTTGACCTTTTGAAAATCCGGATGAGTAGGTGTCTCCATTTTCTTAACATCAATTATCCCCCAACAGTTTTGAAGATTATATAGAACAGTTCTGAAAGCATCTCCATATTTGTTCATCACCCTGGGATAAAATTTATCTAGACTTAGACATTTGCACTAAACTAAAAACAACCAGAATCCAAAAGGACTCTCCTGCCTGCCAGTGACTTAGGGGTCGCATAATAACTGTGGCAGAAGGGGATCCGCAGTCACCAGGCTCTTTAAAGATACAACAGAGGCAGCGTTGTGGTCTGCATTCGGTTCCTTTCTGTTTCATGAAGCTACCTTTGTGTTCAGCTGCTTGGTGGTATGAAGGACTTCACAGCAAATGGCAGCAGATAAATCTGCTATTGTATCAGCTGCTTTTTAAGACAATTTATTGGGATTACTGCGCTAGGAATTATCCTATTTCTTCATAACATGAGATGTTAACTTTCTTATTACCATTGAAATAGAATGCTACTAAGGCAGCTATCAGCATTTGTCACAAACAAGAAACTAACTCCTAAAATTTAGGCCTTAAATATGGAGATGAATGTAGAAGACACTGTAATATCTCTCCAAAATAAATTTCACCCTCTCCGTTTGTATAGGTTGTATTGGTTGATTTCACTCCTCGTTCCAGAGTTGCCCCTGGGTTGCTTTGAACACCATTTGACACAAAGATTGATTAGGGATAAACATATGACCTAATTCTGACCATCAAAGCAGGATTCAGGACATTTTTTACCATGGCTTTGAGAGGAAAAGCTATCTCCTTCCCCTGGCTGCCATCGCACCCATTTATTAATCAAGAGGAAACCAATTTGAAGGTAAATTCTACACATGAGAGTGACCAGAATTTAAGCAAAGCAAAACTAAACAAAATATCACACACATTGAAACAGTGTCCTTGATCAAAATAACTCTGAAGCTTACACTACTATGGGACCAGCCTTTCTCAATCAAAGTTTGATGGAAGAAAGATAGAAGAAATAAACCCTAAGATATACATTATATGCAATAAAGTAATTTCTCTCCTATGCATCTGGAATGGTACTAAATATGTCCTATCTTTGGGAGAACTAAGAAAATAGTAGCTCAAATTACTTTTGTGTTCTGTGGTTCAAATGAGGAATTCTGGTTGCAAAAGCAATTTGACTCCACAGTTGGGTGTACTCATAAAGTCATCTTTATTGTTTAAGCTAGTTTGAGTTGGGGTTTCCATTTCTTACAGCTAAAAGCTTCCTAACTAGTATAATGATCAACCTCCTTTTGGAGACACGCTTCTTTCTTATACTCCCATCTGTTGCTCCTATTGCAATTTCAACAAAATTACTGGGAAATTTTCAAAAAAATTATCAGAAAATCTGGCTCAGCAGATGCAGAATTTTGTAGGTTATCTGCTGTATCCTCACTTGATTCATTTCTCATTCACAATGACAAAAAAGTCAATCCATGAGGAAGATATAACAATTATAAACATATGCAACTAGCAGAAACTGAAAATGCATGAAGGAGAAACTCACAGAATGGAAGGGAGAAATAGACAATTCAACCATAATGGATTATATACCATTATCACCATTATGTACCAGTTATCCTAGAAATACAAGGTTTGATTAACATCCAAAATTCAATCAACTATATTACAAGATTCCAGAGCAAAACCTACAAGATCACCTCAGCAGATGCATAGAAAGCATTTGAACACATCCAAAGCCTCTTCATGACAAAAAACATTCAGCAAACTATTAACAGGAATAGAAGAGAACTTCCACAACCTGATGAAAGGCATGCACTAAAAACTCAGAGCTAATATTTACCTGGGAAAAACAATACTTTCCCCCTAAAATCAGGAAAAAGTCAAGATGTCTGCCCTCACCACTTGTATTCAACCCGAAGGTTATAGCTGGGGAAGTTAGATAAGAAAAAGGAAATCTTAGGTTGATGAAAAAGTAATTGCAGTTTTTGCCATTACTTTTAATTGGCTA